GGGTGCATATGCACTGCAAACCGGAGGAGCAAGGGCATCCTGTGCAGACACCCCCAAAGCTGCTTCCGGGGAGCTCAGATGCCAGCATGAGAAGCATTTAGCTCTGGAAACCCCAGGACCAGAGAGACTAGATTAAAGCTACGTGAGTTGGTCAGCACCCGCTGTATCACATCAGGAGAAACTGCTAGAGGTGCTGCATGTAGCTACAGCTGCAGCTGGTTTCCCATTTGCATTGCCTTATTCACATCATGGCCCTTTGCAAGGCGGCAGAGATAAAGGTCCTGTTCGGAAGCCCTCTCCTGCGGGGGACAGAGGCTGGTGAGAGCTGAGCTAGAACGAAGGGCCCACGAGCCCTCTGCTGGAATTGTACAGAAACTCACCCGGAAAGGTTGCGTTGTCTGCAAAAATATCTAGTGTGCGGTTGTCTAGGGTTTTCAGAGACTGTCAGGGGCTGCAAGGGACCTGGTAGATGGTCGGGTGCAGCCCCCTGCACTAGGCAGGAAAAGACAACAAAAGACAACTGGGGTTATGTTACCCCAGCGAGGTGACCGTCCAGTCTCCTGTTGAAGATGTCCAGGGTAGGTGAGCGCACCACCCCTGGGGGGAGTTTATTCCACAGTCTGCACACCCTGACTCTGGAGGAGTTTTCCCTGGCCTTGCACCTGACGCGGCTTCCAGGAGTTTGTACCCATTGCTCCTGGTCTTCCCCGGGGGTGCCCTGGTGAACAGCTGTTCACCGAGCCCTTGATGTACTCCCCGATGTAGCGGTAAGCTGCTACCAAGTCCCCTCTCAGCCTGCTCTTCTGTAGGCTGAAGAGGCCCAAGTCCCTCGGCCTCTCCTCGTATGGCTTCTCTTGCAAGTCCCAGGTCATATGAGTGGCAGTGTGGTGTTTGCCCCACGGGCCACAGCATCGCACTGCCGGCTCATGTTCGTGCGATGGTCGAGCACTGCCCCTAGGTCCCTTTTGGCCCTGGTGCAAGTCTAATTGTCACCACCGAGCCTGAGGTCTGCTGGGGATGGTTTGCCCCCAGATGGAGCACCTGACACTTCTGAGAGTTGAACTTCATCTGGTTCTGGTCCGCGCACCTCTCCAGCCTGGCCAGGTCCACCTGTACCTGCAACCTATCCTTTGGCGTGACCACGCTGCCCCATGACTCGGTGTCGTCCGCAAACTGGGCCAGCGAGCTTTTCACCCCCACACCCAAATCATTGATAAAGATGTTGAAAAGCGCCGGTCCAAGCACGGACCCCTGAGGGACACCACCGCCCACGTCGCGCCAGGACGACACACATCCATTCATGGGAGCTCTCTGGGCCCGACCCTGGAGCCAGTTTTCCACCCACTGAGCTGTCGAGCACTTAAGCCCACAATCTTCCAGTTTTCCCACAAGGATACCATGGGATACTAGATCAAAGGTCTTTTGGAAGTCGAGGTATATAACATCGACCTTGTCTCCTGTGTCCAGGTGCGAGAGACCTGGTTGTAGAAGGAGATGAGATTGGTAAGACAAGACCTGCCCGCGACGAAGCCGTGCTGGCTGTCGTTCAGGATCTTACCCTCCACGAGCGTGTCGCACATAGATTCTCTAATGAGTTTTTCCAGGATTTTCCCTGGGATGGAGGTGAGGCTGACTGGCCTATAGTTGCCCAGGTCCTCCCTCTTCCCCTTCTCGAAGATGGGCACAATGCTGGCCCTCTTCCAATCCTCAGGGATCTCCCCTGTGTGCCACGATTTCTGAAAGAGCTTTGCCAGGGGTCCCGCAATGATCTCCGCTGGCTCCTACAGCACTCTCGGGTGGAGTCCATCCGGTCCTGCTGATTTATACATGGCTAGCTTTTCTGGTTGGTTTTGCACCCGCTCGGCACCCATAGTGGGGAGGCTAACAGTCCTGGCATGTCCCCTATGAGCCGTATCTTGTCCTTCCCCTTGATCCGGTGAAACACCGATGCAAAGTGGGCATTCAGGGGTTCAGTTTTTTTCCTGAGTGCCCGTTACCAGCTGTCCCGAGGCGTGAAGCAGGGGTCCTGCACTTCCATGTGTTTTCCTTCTGCTCCCTACATACCTAAAGGACTTCTTATTGTCCTGGGCTCCCTTGGCTAACTTAAACTCTGTCACTGCCTTAGCAAATTAAATAGTTTTAATTTCCTATTGACACCTTTAGCCTACTGATTCTCCAAAAATCCTCATTCCCTCCAAAAAAAAAAGGAAGGAAAGGCCCCTTCCCTTGAAGGGTGTGTCAGCAGCCAAGCCTCCTACCTCTGTCCCTCCAGCTCGCACACGTATTTCACCACCGGGGTCCAATCAAACGCTCCCGGCCCCTTCTTCAGCCACTTCTCCAGCTCCTGGCAGTTCCGGTCCGCATAGTCCGAAACGATGATCTCATTAAACTTCTCGCAGGCAGAAAGGAGCTGGTAAATGGTGGGGCCGCTGCCAATATCTATCAGGATGTCACCCTTCACATCACCTGTGTTGGAACAGGGGGGAGCAGTGTTACCTGGTACTGGAAAGGAAATCGCTGCTGTCCCGGGGTTGGGCTGGCTGGGAATGACCTTGTTTGCACACTGCCTCACGTGGCTGGTGCACTGGATGGGTGCTGCTCCAGCAGTGACCCGATGCCAGCCTTTGCACAGACAGGAGCTGGGCTTTTCAGGTCTCAGCAAGGATGCAGGGCTTTGATTTCCATGTACCACAGAGGCCTTGAAGGATTTGGGATGCATCAGTGAACCCCCCCGGGGTGTTTCAGGCATGCTCAGCGGGAATAAGGAGCCTGTCCCATCTATTCTGACTGTACAGACATGGGGTCAGGACAATTGCTTCCTGGGTTTTTGCACAGCACCCACTGCTCTGGGCCCCTGGTGTCAGGGCAGGCCTCTAAACATGGTTGGGTTAGTCTTTACCTATCCTAAAGCAGTTCAGCATGGGACTTTGTCCAGACTGATGCAGGACAGGCTTTACCTACTTGGCTGCCTGCTGTATTTTTCAGCTTAGGAAGGGAAAGGGCAAGGAAAATCATTTAGGAACAGGATGC